CCTCCACTGCCCGTTAACTCCGATGGCCCCAGAATCTCTCTCCGGAAAATGCAGCAGCTGGTGCTTATATTTCTGGAGCTGGAAAAAGTCTCCTCTGACATCAAAAAGGTTTATTTTTCCCTTCCCTTCCCCTCTGCCTGCCACCACACATGGTAATCCCAACCCCAGTTTGCCCCCCAGAAAACCCTCTCTGAGCTCTGAGCAAGGCCAGGATAAATGGCTGGCTGTGATCCCTGTTCCAACGGTCTTGAAGGATGTGGTTGGTTGTTCCATGAGCAAGGAGCCTCGTCAGCCCTGTGAATCACCCCTCAATCACTTCCCTCTCCAGAGAAGAAACAATTCCTGTTCCTGTGCATGAGAATATACAGAGAGAGAGAGAGAGAGAGAGAGAGAGAGAGAGAAAGAGAAAGAGAGAAAGAGAGAGATGGGGAGCAGGCAAGAGTGCTCACCCCTCTATGGCACTGACTACTGACCTTGCTTTTGTCTGGAGCACCTTCTTCCTCTCTCCCAACCCATATTCCTTCCCTTCTCAGCTTATCAGGAAGCCATCAGTAGGTTCCAGGCTCAGCTCAGGATCCCCTCCAGGTCTGAACAGCTGTCCCATGTTTATCTGTTTCTCCAGTACTGGGTGTTTTCCATGGGGCAAGTAGCCCAATTTCACATCAGACTATGAACAGCTGGGCCTTCCTTTCTGCCCAGTCTTTCCTTGCTCTCCGTTTCACCTATAAGGTCCCAGATGTGCTTCAGTGCTTTGGTGAGGAGGAACACCACATGGAAACCAGTATGCGCGAGCACCCATGATGGGCGTCAGGTTCTGGGTAGAAGCTTTCCCCTGAATTATGACAGGTCAAAGCCCTGTGAGGTTACAGGAGGAAACAGAGCCCCAGAGTGACTGGTTCAAGGTTGCACAGCTAGGAAGAACCAGAGGCCAACCCAGTCGGCCCAATGCCATTCCTTCCATAACACAGAACTGGCCCTGGAGAAGGCCTTTTCAGACTGCAGCTGTACATCCTCACTCCTTGTGGGCTGGAGCCACAGTCTAAGGGCTCAGAAATGAATGAGTTTGGGGTCAATTCCTAAAAATGTGGTTCCAAGGACCAACACCAAAATCTGTGATGATCTAAACACAGGGAGAATGTATTATTTCCACAGGGTCCACCCTTCATTCCTCACTCTGCGCATCACTGAGTACAGAAACCATTCTGAATTTGCTCCACTCCTCCCAGTCCCCAGGGACCTCCCATCATTGCCCATCAAACTCACCTACCTGCCTCCTGGTGGACGGCCCATACAGTGAGGCAACCCTCTGATACCACCCTCCATTGTACAGGCCTGAGCCTGGCCTTCCCACTCATGTTCCAACTGAAGAGAGGGCCCACCTTAGAATCTCTCCTCCTTTGGACGTAAACTGATATGCATTTCCCAAGATCTGCCTGAGAGACCCCATGCAATCTGGTTAACCTCTCTTAGCCTGTTAACCCATCTGTAAAAAGAAATCAAAGAACCTCCCCCACACAGGAGTACATTGGATGAACTGTAGCAATCCCATGAGAACATGCATGTTGAGTGTTAGGCACCATGGATGGTAGCTGTTAACAATGGCTACTACTTGTTTTCCCTAAGGAGTCCTGTGGATATCAGAATGTACATGATTGGTATTTGTCTGAAATAAACACTCAGGAAAGAAAATGATGGTCCACATCCAAACAGACATAATCTATCGTTTTCTTTAGATAAACGAGCTTCTCACACAGCTCGACATACACCTATACTCATGTGAACACAAAGAATTATGTGAAGCTGAACTCAATCCCTATCAGAAAACTTCCAAATGGGATTAATTTGCAGTTTGCATCCAGCATTAGCAGGACCCTTTTAAGGACAAGTGGTGGCCAGTTTTCCTACAGTCTCCTGTGGGCAGCTCATGAAAACTAGGAAAGGGGCCCAGCTCCCAGCCAGGAGCCGGACCTAAGCAGCAGCTGCTCGCCCTTCCCAGCCCCACCCCTAGCAGGGGCTGGCAGAGAGGAAGGAAGCCAAGGGCTGGCGGCACCATGCAAACTGAAGGAGGCTACTGGCCTGTCTTACATAAACAGACCCAAAGCACAGGACCCCAGGCAGCTCTCCCTCCTCATGGAGATGAGCACGCCCCTGGCTGGATGTCCTGAGAGAACCTTTGCATGTGTTCCTGGAGTTTGGGAGCCAGGGGAGCTCCTCCTGCTTGGGCCCCAGGCCTCTCTCATCAGCGAGTTCTGGCTAATGTGCACATCCCATAAAACCTCTTTCCCCTGCAATTTACCAAACCACAGACTCAGCATTCACCATAGGTGGAGGGCAGACTAGAAGGAGGCATGCTTCTCCAGTGTAGAGGTTTCTAGAACACACACAACTTGGACACAGCACATTCTGCCAGCTAACCACACCAGAGTACTTTACCCAGAACACTTAACCTTGTACATGAGGTCCACACCCCAAGGGCCAAGAGAGGAGGGGATTCCAAGCCTCAGGGGTCACAGCCTCCTCAACTGGCTCCTCCTGTCCCTGTTGCCCCTGCTTCCTATTATTGGACACCCTATTTTATGCCTTATGCCCCAAATGTAGAGGAATCTCTCCACCAACAGATATTTGTCTTTCTAGTCAACCTCAGCCAGACTTAAGGTACCATTGATGAACAAAACCCATACCACAGGCAAAAGGCCAGTTCAACTCAGAGACTGAGACAGCTGTGATGCATATTACTCCATCCGGTTCTCAGTTTCCTCATCTACCAGATGAGTCCTTGATCCCTGCCAGCTCCACAATCCCACCACATACAACACTTTCTCCTCTTATTGTTTTCCAGGACCTCAGTTCAGAAATCTGTATGGCTCAGTGACATCACTCCCTGTCCCAAACACTATGTCATTGCTTCTTACATGGGAAGCGGAGCTGTCCCAGGAAACACTTTGTCTGTAAAGAGGGAGGAAATGATCATTTCAAGAGAACTGGACAGGACTTCTTTTGTGTTAACCATACAGCACACGTTATTATCAATCTTACGACCCAAAGACTTTCTTCCTTTTTGCCAGACCATTAATAGCTGCTTTTCAGAAATACTTTCTTAGTCAGAATCTCACCAATAGTCAGTTAGCATTTAATGAGTGCTTGTTATGTGCCAGGAACTGGGCTAAGTGCTTTACATGGATGATCTCATTTAATCTTCCCCACAGCCCTCTGAAGTACATACTATTATTATTCGCACTTTTAAAACGAGGAAACTGAGGCCCACGGAGGTTAAAGAACTTGCCTAAGGTTGTACAGCTAGTTAGTGGCCAACCTCGGCATTGAATAAGACCTCCTAACTTCAGAGCCCCCAGAAAGACCCTCCCTGGTCCTGGTGGAAACACTCCTGGTTTGTTGCCAAGAGATTTTGCATTTGTAATCTTAGGCATTGTTGGTCAGAGCTAAAAGGCAAGGTTTAAAATGTCTAAAATCCAGAGCTAAAAAAGCACCTGCCTGGGTCTTGGAGCAGAGTGCCATCTGTTGAAAGCAGTGCTCATCTCTGCCAAGGACTAGAAAACAGAACCCTTAAACTTAGCCTGCAAAACTTGAGAAAAGAGGTTAGGAAAACTGGTTTGATTCTAAATCCTGGTATGTGAAAATGGATCAACTGGTGATCCAAGCGCTCCAAAAGTTTTCTTGTAATGGCAGTAGAAGAAGCTTGCAAAGCCAGATGACACAAATGGATTGACTCCCTGATCCTGTGTCAGGAAATATCCCCCACAGGCACCTACCTCCCTGCCTGATCACTTTAACCTTCTCTCCAACCTGAGCCCAGTCACACTTTCTCAACTGTAAAGAACTCCCTCTTCAGAGCTTCTGGTGATTCCAGAGAAAAAGTAGCCTGAGGCTGACAGTACCACAAACCCCAGTTCCCCTCCAGCAGGGAAATAACAGGCACTCCAGAGATCAATGTGCAATCTAGGGCAGCAACCAACAGCCTGTTTTAATTGTTAAAATTAATGCTTTGAGCATTCTAAATGCTCCTTTAAATGCTTAATTTGCAAATAAGATGCAGCCCTGCTGTCACCATGTCCTCTGTACTTTGGAAACTGGGTTGTGGGTCTCCTTTCTCTCTAGGACAGGAGCATGGTGCTAAGATAGGCATCTTCAGATGTCAAAGACACTGTTTACTTCCTAAGGTGTGAAGGATGGGAAGGCAGAACTGGCTTAGATGAAAAGGGGACTGTCACACAGATCCTGGAGCCCGGCCCTCGGTCAACCTCAGCCCCTTCTCATTAAGTTTGGGGAAGGTAGGGGGAGGGGCGGTTGGCCTTTCCTTGGAGACCACAGTCAACATTTGCCTTCTCGTGTCTGGAGATGGAGCATCACTTAAGAGGAAATGACCCCGGTTAAGGGTCACGTCCAGAGGAGGGATAAAAGGAAAAGCCACAATTCTCCTCACACCACGGGACACAATGGCTTTAAGAAGGAAATCAAAGCTGGGCGCTGAGAGTGGAGGGGGCAGGGGACACCGCGCTTCCTTCTGCCCCCAGACCCAGGCCTAGGCAGGCAGACAGCAAACGTGGGAGGCGTGGGTCTCCGGGCAAGCCTCTGAAAGGATCCCGGGCAGAGCGAGCGCGAGCGACCCGAGCCCCCGGGGAGCGCCGGGAAGATGTTCTTTCCCAGTGGAGTCGCTCAACTAGGGGCTGACGAAAGCGCCCCCCTCCCCGCCCCAATCCATCAAAGCTCAGGCGGACAGATGACTTCACCGTTGTAACAGACAAGGGCAGCCACTTGCCAATTCCAATGCCAAAAAAAGAAACCAGAGAGAGGGGAGTGGAGAAAGGACAGAAAAGGTTTCCCTGAAGATCACAGCCCTGCAAAGAAACTCTAGAGCCACAGGCTGCCCTGAGGGCACGCAGCTCCGGGACTTACTAGCGAGGAGGAGCGAGGGGCCACCCCGCGCCTTGGCCAGCCCCCCGCTGGGGTATCTGGGTGTGGGGGGAGCGGACAGTACTCACATAATGCTTGGAGGGGTTCCTCCGCTTCTCCACGTCCACCACGGTGGCATCTTGCACGCAGTAGGCGAGCATCTTCCCCCACAAAGCGAGTGGCGCCCCCCGGCGGCGTCACCTTCTCATCCCGGCCCTGCTCCGGCTCCTGCAGCCCGGGTCCCCGCCGCCACCCGCCACACCGGCCCGGCGCGCCGATCGCTGCCCGGGCTTCCTGCGCCCACGGGCACGGCCCGGGTCAGGCGACGGTCCCGGAGGGTACGAGGGCTCCGTGCGTCTCGGGAGGCTCCCCGTGGGCCTGCCTTGCGCCCCTTCCCTCCCGCGTCGTCGCTGCAGCCGCCCGGCTCCTGCTCGCCCGCCCGCCTGCTCTCTCCGCCGCCCGGTGGGTCCGGCGGGAACTGGCGGAGCAGAGGAGGGCCGGGGGTGTGTCCCGCCAGCGAGGGCACGGGGCGGGGGACCAGATCCTGCTGTCAGCGCGCCGGGGAGGGGCCGGCGGCGCCCCTTCGCGGCGCTCCGGCTCCGGGGGGCTCGGCGCAGGCGGAGGTTGTGGGCGCAGGAGGCGGAGGCAGGGCCCGGCAGGCAGCTAAGGGAAGGGAAGGGAGGGGAGGGGAGGGGAGAGGGGAAGCGCGCGGGGAGGGGCTCCGGGACGGAGGAGGGGCTCGGGAAGACGGGGAGGGGGCTGCAGGCGGCCCAAGGGGCAGGGGCGGGTCGGCGCGCCCCCACCAGAGCCGAGAGCGCAGCCAGAGGCCTGGCGCGGCACTGGGCTAGCCCGCTGGGCACAAAAACTCGGGGTGGCTTTGGAGGGCGGAGGCTTGGGGAAAGTGAACGCGGCGCTCCCCCATCCTGGCTTTCTGTCTCGGAAAGGATTTGTGCCTTCTTGTCGCCACCTTTATGTCCCCCTACCTCTCCTGTCCCACATAGCTCTTTAATGAAAAGTAGTTTATTACCCGGCTGTTACTGCCCAGGGACTCGGAAAGAGAAAGGAACGGAAAGGGCCTGCATTAAATCCTTCAATCAGAGCCTCTTCGGATGAAACACCTGCCCCCGCCCCCATCGGGTCACAAAGGGTGAATTCTCCCCGGAAATGGGATCGATGGATTCGCTGCATGAGTCGTTCATCGATCTGGGCTTGTGTAACTATCCTGTGACATCATTTACCAAAGACAAGGTTACATACTACATAACAAGGCTGCCTTAAGCCCGGGGCTCCCCTGGGACCCTCCCGGGGCTAGCTACCAGGGAGGGGAACACACAATGGTGGGAAAATCCACTGGGTCGGGGGCCAGCTCTTCATTAGCTCCAGGCTCTGACTTTCTCACCACCCTCCCTCTGTTCTGGAAAATCAACTATCCAAGCCACTTGTCCATCTCTGGACTTGGAGCACAATTTTACTTAATTTGATTTAGCTTTTCCCCCAACTATTTCAACATTTTTTCCCATTCTACTTTCAAACATTTAAAGGGGGAGAGCTTTCACAACTAATCCAACTGTTTCACATTCACAATGAAGTTTTGTGACTTTTGACCAATGGAAACATCTGAAATGGGGGCGAAGAATTTTGTGATCTTTTTTTCTTCTTTGCACTATCGGAACCCTTGTACCAATCGAAGACTGCATTCCCACATTTGCTTGGGGCAGAGTACCCCACTCTGTTCCAACCATTTTGGGGAAGGGTGCAAGGACACCAAATGACGGCACATGAGAAGGAAATACAGAAGAGCATAGGGGTTCAGACTTGATGCACTGAAGACTTCACAGTTGTATCAGACAAGGGCAGCTACTTGCCAATTCCAATGCCAAAAAGAAAGAAAGGAGAGAGAGACAAAGAGAGAGAGAAAGACTAAGCATCTTGTCTGAGATGCTAAAAGATGCTTTTGGGTATTGCAGCAAGAATACTAGGAGAAGGTGATCTGGCAGTGAAGTTTAATTGATGGGGAAACAGGGAGAGTAGGGCCCCTCTCTCAAGCAAAGTTTGTTCCTTGAAGGGGGGGAGGGAGAAACGGCTGTCAGTATTGAACTTCCAATCCAGCTCCCAGTCTTCTCTGGTGATGAGTCAAGGAAGTCTGTGAGTTCAGTTAAAAGGATTCATAATAGCACTAACAGCCCTTCCTCTACGGAAGGGAAAGCATTCTAATACTCTAACAATCCCCTGGGGAGGGGAGCTGATGTTTGTCTGTTGCAGGGAAAAAAGAGGAGGGGGCCCAGTTCACCATGGGTCCCCTTGGGAATCAGAGCAGTGGGCTCAGGCAAGAGGGCACCACGGCTCTCCTGCTCACTCTCCTACTCCTGGGCCCTAATCCACACTGAATATGACACCAAACACAAGAAGTCTGTGGAGAAAGGGTCCCATGCTTCCCTGCTGCCCTGGCAATATGGTGTTCACCTAACTGGTATTGATCCTTTTCCCACTTAAGAAATTCCCGAAAATCTGACATCTCTTAAATTCAGTTTGTTTGTTTGTGGTGCTTTTCGTACCAAGAATTGAACCCAGGGGTGCTTAGCCACTAAGACACATACCCAGCACCCCCCTACCCCCTTTTTTTTTTTTTTGAGACAGGCTCTTGCCAAGTTGCTTAGAGCTTCGCTAAGTTGCTGAGGCTGGCCTTGAACTTTCTGCTTCAAGCCTCTCAAGCTCTGAGGTTGCAGGAGTATGCCACTGCTCCCAGCTTAAAGTCTTTTTTTTTTTTTTTGGTGGGACCCGGGATTGAACCCAGGGCCTGTGCATGCTAGGCAAGCACTCTATCAACAGAGCTATATCCCCAGCCCCAAATTCAATTCTTTAAGCACAACCTCAACATACTTCCAGCTTCTCCCATGCTCCTGGACAATCTCCATTGGAGGGAGTAACTGAGTGCCACCACTTAATCCCAACCCCACTGTACCAAGAGGTTATTTATAAATATACATAAATATAAAGGTATTTATGTATGAAATGGTGCAGGCAGGTGCCCTTCCCAAGGGACATGTCAACCTCATGCAAACTTCTTTTCCACCATTGCCTTAGGAATTCCTTTCCATTCAACACTTGTTTACTAGTTCTTCCCTAAATGATGGAAATTAGCAAAAGTCAGGTTGGAGATGGGGCCTGTGCATAATTAGGTACCTACTATGTGCTTAGTGCCTCAGGACGGCCTCTGTTGGAGACAATGGCTTGAAGAGCCAGTGCTGGAGGGGATCAGATAAACTCCTATTTTGCCACCTCCATCTATGAATAAGCTGGGATAACTCCAATTCAAGGATACTATGTGAGTTCAAGTGACAAAACACAAACTGAAAAAAAAAAAAGTTTGGGATAAATTAAGGAAAAAGAACCCAAGATAAAGATGCAAACCAATAACTGAAAATCAGATTTTTCATAAACAAGCAATTATAGAATGTTTAGAATCTAAGAATTTTCCAGCTGGAAGGAACCAGAGAGGTTATTCATTCCTTTAATTTTACGGAGAGAAAACTGAGACCAAAAGAATCTAAGCAAGTTACTGGATGCCACATAGCTAGTTAGGCCCAGATCCACCATATTTTCCCTCCATCATGCTATGTGCCTATTCACAGGCAAGAAAAGTTCATTTTAAAAAAATAATAAAAATTAAAAAAAAATTTAAAAAAGAAAAATTTATCTAAAAAGCATACTTAGGGGCTGGGATTGTGGCTCAGCGGTAGAGCGCTCGCCTAGCACAGGTGGGACCCGGGTTCAATCCTCAGCACCACATAAAAATGAAGGCATTGGGCTGGGGTTATGGCTCAGTGGCAGAGCGCTTGTCTAGCATGTGTGAGGCACTGGGTTCAAACCTCAGCACCACATAAAAATAAATAAACAAAATAAAGGCATTGTGTCCATGTGCAACAAAAAAAAAAGTAAAAAAAAAAATAAAGGCATTGTGTTGTGTCCATCTACACCTAAAAAATAAATATATATATATTAAAAAGCATACTTAGCGGGCTGGGGTTGTGGCTCAGTGGTAGAGCACTTGCCTAACATGCATGAGGCACTGGGTTCGATCCTCAGCACCATATAAAAATAAAATAAAGGTATTATGTCCAACAACTAAAAAATTATAAATATTTTTTAAAAAAGAGTACACTTAGCACATGTATTACCACCTGTAGATTCAGAATGCTGCATGCTCTTGAACCCTGGCATGCAACCAAGAATTGTTCCTCACACATGATGCCTGGATCCCTGTCCCCAAGGAAGACTGGATAGTCCTCCAGGTTAGGGTCCTCTGTGCATGTGCAAATCCCACCTGCTCCCTGTATGCACAGCCTACACCAACTCCTCTTCCATGGATGGTCTTTGTGGCCACTCCAAAGACAACATACAGGAAAGCACTGAAAACTATTGAGCACTAAGCAAAGGCACAGTCTCATCCTTTCTTCCTCCTTTTATGGCAATTTCCAGGAGTGGAGGTGCACACCTGTGATCCCAGCAACTAGGGAGGCTGAGGTAGGAAGATCACAAGTTCGAGGCCAGCCTCAACAACCTGTCAAGGCTCTAAGCAACTTAGTGAGATCCTATCTCAAAACAAAAAAATAATAAAGGACTGGGGATGTGGCTCGGTGGTAAAGTTCCCCTGGGCTCAATCCCCAGCGCTGCCAAAAAAAGAAAAGAAAGAAATTTTATGGCAATTGCTAACCATTCACTTGGTTATTAGTCAATATTAGAACTGGGACTGCTCAGACTCTACTGTATTGAACCATATTTACACTTTTTATTTTATTTAACTTTCATGAGCTTAGGTTGTAACTTCTAAGCCAATAAGAAGTCTGTGAGGGCCTTAAGGACCATGAACTTAGACTTTGACACAACCCTCTTCCTCCCCACCCCCATCCCATAAACCACTTCTGCCACTTGCCATCTGCCGCTTGCCATACACACCCCACTCATCACAGGGCTTTCTATGAGGCAGGTGTTCAACAAATGATTGCATTTTTAAATTACTGGGACCTAAGCAGATATTTGTAGAGGTGGCTTATTCTAAGGGATGCCTAAGAAGAGTTGGAAGATAGAATCTCAGAGCAGGGCTTATCTAACCTGGGTTCTAGTCCTAGCTCAACCACAGTCCAGCCTTGTGACCTTGAAG